AAGAAAATATTTCCCAGTTCTGTCCATTGGAAAGTCCTAGAAAAACAACTAACTCCATAGCAACAAGCACCATTCCACAACTAGAATGTGGTCTCTAATCCCATTCCCACTAAAGGGATCAGGATCCTTAAAGAAATGGTTGAATCCAGGTTGGGGGTAGGAAATGTATAAGGTAAGCCTAGAATATTCCTTTTTTTTTTTAAGATTTTATTTTTATTTATTTGACAGCAAGAGAGGGAACACAAGCAGGGGGAGTGGGAGAGGGAGAAGCAGGCTTCCCGCTGAGCAGGGAGCCCGACGAGGGGCTGGATCCCAGGACCCTGAGACCACGACCGGAGCCGAAGGCAGATGCTTAACAACTGAGCCACCCAGGCGTCCCAAGCCTAGAATATTCTATCATACTAGAAAGTAATGTCATTTCACAAAGACATTAAAGCCAACTTGAAGGGCATCTCACTGCCAAAATTTTTGAGCAACAAAAAAAATTATTGAAATAAGTTGAAATACTAGCTATGTTAAAATTCATGTGTACGTGAAGATGATAAAAAAAACTTAGTCATCTTCATAGGTAAAACAAGTAAATGGAAGATACAATCACTTATGGACTATTTTTCAGGGTAGCCAAATAGTTGATAAGGGCAAGTTCTCCTTTATAGAAGAATTCTTGTTAATAAATGCAGAGAGAGTGATAAAATTAGAAATAATGAAAAGAGGCAGTGATCAGTCAAAACTTAGGTGAATGGAGAACTTCATAAAGGAAGAATTAGGCTGACAATAGCTGAACATAACACCATAAAAAGAGAGGCAACCAGACAGTATCTGCCTCTTGTCGCAACAGGATGTATTCCCACCACCTATGAAGTGTTCTTGTCAGGAAGGTGAACACGATTCTGGTGAAGCTTCTATATCACAGCTGTCCCACAGAAACCTTCTGCAGTGATGGAAATGTTTTTATGTGCTATCCCATACATAGCTATTTAGCACTTGGCCAGTGAGACTGAGGAACTGACTTTTACATTTTAGTTAATTTTAACTAATTTAAATTTAAGTAGCCACCTGTAGTTAGTGGCACCCACTAACCATTTGACAGAGCAGCTGTAGTTCTGACTGCTAACTTAAAGAAACTACAGGGGATAAAGGGACATGTTAAGTGACAACACGTCTTCCTGCGTAACGTGTCGACCTTGTTTGCATCCTTATTCAAACAAACCAACTGTGAGACAATCAGGGAAATCTCAACTGGCTAATTCATAATATTAGTAATTATGTAAAATTTTGATTTCGATCATAATGGTATTACATTTAGGTTTTGAGGAATTGTTCTTATCTCTTAAAGATACATACTTAAGTATTTATAGATGAAAATATACATGTCTGGGATTTTCTTTAAACAATCTGGCAGAGGAGAGACTAACAGTGGGAGGGTATATATGAAATAAGAGTAGTTATATGTTGATAACTGTTGAAGCTGAGTGATGGGTATATGGGTATTCAACAGAATATTCTAAATTTCTGTGATGGTTGAAAATTTCCATCACAAAATGCGTTAACAAATGAAGGAATAAATAAAACCTGGAATTAAAACAAGAGCATATATGTACATCCTATGGACTATTTTTTTTTTTAAGATTTTTATTTATTTATTTGACAGAGAGAGACACAGTGAGAGAGGGAACACAAGCAGGGGGAGTGGGAGAGGGAGAAGCAGGCTGCCTGCTGAGTAGGGAGCCTGATGCAGGGCTTGATCCCAGGACCCTGGGATCATGACCTGAGCTGAAGGCAGACGCTTAAAGACTGAGCCACCCAGGCGCCCCCATCCTATGGACTATTATGCAGCTCCTAAAAAGAAAGCAGTGGGCCTCAAATATTATATCATGGAAAGACAGCTAAGTTACATGAAATCAAGAAGGGAAGTTGAGGAATAATTGCTATGGTTTGAATGCTTATGTCCCCACAAAATTCCTATGTTGAACTCCTAACCCCCTTGGTGATTGTATTAGGAGGTGCGGCCTTTGGGAGGTGATTAGGTCAGGAAAATGGAGCCCTCATGAATGGAATTCGTGTGCTTATTAAAGGAGTCCTGGGACGCCTGGGTGGCTCCACAGGGTCTGGTGGCTTAAACAACAGAAATTTATTTCTTAGTTTTTGAGGCTGGGTTAGGATGCCTGCTGATTCAGTTCCTGGAAAGAGCTCTTTTCTGGCTTGCAGATGGCTGCCTTCTCCTACATACTCACATAGCTGAGAGAGACAGCAAGCTCTGATGTCTCTTCCTCTTCTTATAAGGGTACCAGCCCTATTGAATCAGGGTTCATCTTTATGACCTCATTTAACCTTTATCACTTCCTCATAGGCTCTGTCTCCAAATACAGTCACATTGAGGGTTAGGGCTTCAACAGATAAATTTGGGGGGGGGGAACACAGACATTCAGTCCATAATATTTGCTAAAGCATCATTTCTTACAGTAAAATTATGGAGATAATTTTAGTGTCCATCAATGGAAAAATGGACAGGTAAATTATAACATACCCATATTATGTACTAGTGTAGGGAAATGTCCAAAGGTATATATATATTTTTTATTTTTTTTTAAAGTAGGTTCCATACCCAGCATGGAGCCCAATGTGGGGCTTGAACTCACAACCCTGAGATTAAGACCCGAGCTGAGATCAAGAGTCGGATGCTTAACCGACTGAGCCACCCAGGCACCCCACCAAAATATATTCTTGAATAAAGCAAGCAAATTGAACAAAGCAACTTGAACAATATATGAATCATCCACATTAAAAAACATACAAAAGACCCTCCAACTATATCATCTCTCTCTGTATAGATAGGCAGATAGTCTGGAAGGAAAAAAGTCACACACAGCTATTAGTGGTGACTAACCCTTGGGGATATGGAAAGAGAGGCACTTTTACTTTTCCATTCTGTATAGGCCTAAATAATTTTAATTTAAGAAGTGAGCAATCGTTATATTTGTAAATCTGAAAAAATGCGATAGTTTTTTTTTAACTGCTTGATTCCACGAGATAACAGCTAGACTAGGTGCTTAAAATATTTAAAAAACAAATGTATTTATTTATATGAGATATGGTTCCTACATGGCTCAGGCTCTGTGCAGAGCTGCATTTGAATAATCATGGCCCAGAATCCAGAAAGAAAGTACAAAGTAGTTCCAACTGATACTAGCATGGGCTCAAAGAATACTAACCTCTGGTCCTCCACTCTCCTATAGCTCATGAGACTTTCTCATTCTTTCTCATGCCCAAATCTTTTTTTTTTTTAAGATTTTATTTTTAAATAATCTCAAATCCTCTGCTTAGTCCTCCCTCAGCTCTTTACATATATATCCTTCTAAGTTTCAGGATTTTCTCTAGCGATTGGCCATACTCTGCATCTCAAAGGATCCAAGAACCAGATTGGTGAAGACTCTTCTTCAGTTGGGGGTGGGGAACAGCTTGTTCCCTTTCACATATTAGTTTCACTGATTTCTCTAGATTTAGAATTATGATTCTGTTAATTAATAGTTGATTCACCTGTATTATAGTTTATCTTCCCAACTAGATTGTATTTGGAGAAGGTGGGGCACCGCTCTCACTATTTTTATTCCTTCCACTATTTCTTAAATTATTTCATCTGTTGATGTAAACAAGATAATTTAGGGGAATCCTTATAAAGGCACCAGTGCCCAGAGGCTCCAGGGGTGGGAGAGCCTCTATCAAAATGTAGCTTTTTTTTTTTTAATTTTATTTATTTGACAGAGAGAGCACAGGCAGGGGGAGTGGCAGGCAGAGAGAGAGGGAGAAGCAGGCTCCCCAAGGAGCAGGGAGCCCGACGCCGGGTTCGATCCCAGGACTCTGGGATCATGACTTGAGCCGAAGGCAGTCACTTAACCAACTGAGCCACCCAGGCGCCCCAAGATGTAGCTTTTTTAGAATAATTTCCAAACTCACTCCCAAAGAGTCTAATTGAGGTCTCTGCATTTCTTATAAGTCATATGTTTTCCTCACAGGTCAGAACAGGCTTAGCAGTATTAAAGATTAAGAACTGCACTGCCTCAGAGACTGGACCCCCACCTATCCCTCCAAACTCTTTTAGAGGGATGTTAGCATTGACTTTGAGCTAGAGCATCCTGTCTTACCACTTCATCCATTTGGGCACTTGGCCCGTTTCCTTGTTCCCAGAGTGGGTATAGTCACATCTGCCTCAAAGGATCTTACATAGGGACATATTGTGGGTATGCAGCCCTTTTAAAATCTTGGGTCTGGAGAAATCAACCAGGCTTGGTTCTTGCCCTGCTCATATGGAAGAGGTTCACTCAGTCCCCTTTAGGCCCCTAAATGACATAAAGATGAGGGATTTCAACTTCAGAGATGTTTCCTCAGAAAAGAAAGAGCTATAAAAGCAGTAGTCCGGACAGTAGCTACATCTTTTCTCCCCAACAAAGAATAATCGGTAATCCACTGTTCTGGCACCTGAAGCTCTAACTTTGGGTTAACAATGAACTCTGAGCCCAAGCCTTTAGGTAAGTTAAAATCCCAGGCGGTTATGCTTGTCTGGAGGCCTGAGAGGCACGAAGTGATGGAGAAAGATGAACCGAACTGCTCTCTGGCTCACTTACAACCGGCACGCCCTCCATACCTAGTACCGTTAAGGGTGGCCGTCGCCATTTTGCAGGGTGGGCAGCGGAGAATCCCGGCGCTAGGCCGGCCCGCCAGAGCCGGAGAGGACGTGGAAGGGTTGGAGGGGGGTAGCGCGCGCTACTAAGGGAAAGCACGCGTGCGCACAGGCGGAGGCGGCGGAGGGGTGGGGCCGGGGTACGAGTGCGCGTGCTCGGTGGGAGCCCGCGAAGTACCTGGAGGAGGTGGGGGGCGAGGTAGAAAAGAGTGGGGTCGAAGAGCGCTTGCGCGGGAGGGCGACCGTCCGGGGAGGGGGGCTCCCGAGCACGCGCGCGGAGACGGGACTTAGGAAGCTCTCGCGAGATCTTCACGTTGCTATATATGTGCGCAGGGAGCCCGCGTCCTTTCCCTGGTGTGATTCCGTCCTGCGCGGCCGTTGTGTGGAACAGTAGTCGTTTATCTCCGTCCGCCTTCTCTTCCACCTAAGTGCGTGCCACCACCCCATGGAAGATTCGATGGACATGGACATGAGCCCCCTGAGGCCCCAGAACTATCTTTTCGGTAAGTGCTGGGGGGTTGGGGCGAGGCCGAACAGGGCCTGGTGGCTTTGGCGGGGCGGGGGGGGGGCGGGAATCTTCCTTAGGCCTGGGCTGGTAGGGAAAGCTAGGCAGGCTAGAGGCCTGAGGGAGGGAAGCGAGGTGCCCAGGCCTTGCAGCCGAAGAGATGGGAGGTCAAGAGAGGAGAGCTGGAGCTCGAAGCGGTGGAAGGAGGGGCGGCCTGAAGCCTGGGGCAGGAGCGATCGGAGGCCCAGGGCCTGAGGTAACGTAGAACCAACAAGCTGAGGATTCGGCTTTGCCTGGGGGCACGCGGTAGAGCCACGGGCATGATTTCCTCTCGGGCTGTGTGATTTCGTAGGCTTGTGATTCCTGACTAGTGTCTTTGATGCTGGGCCCAGGCTTGGTGCTGGAGGTTGTGGGAGTCCGTGGTGTGGAACATGGTCTTACTTTCTGGGGGTAAAGGGTATTTAGAGCCTGGCGTTGTCCTTAGGCTTCAAGAGTGCGGAGCTCTAGCGCCGAGATTCAGCCCTGGTCCCTCGGCCGGTGGTGGGGGGAGGGGAGGTGCGGCCGGGCGTGAGGAGGCCGCAACCGCTGGGAGCACGTGGTTGCCACGTGGTTGGGGGGAGGAGGGGGTGTGGGCACTACATCCGGGTCTCCCTGGTGTCTTGTCACCCCGGAGCCTGGCATCCTGGGGCTTAATTGAAGCTCTTGGGCGGGAAGTGTTCGGTGAAGTGGCTGGTAGAGCCAAGATTCTGAAAGTCTTTGTTCAGTGCTTAATATCTACGATGGCAGTTCTCATTTATAGAGCTTTTTTTTTTTATCTCACATTGAGAGATGGAATTAGCCCACTTTGCAGATGACGATACTGATGCTCAGAACTGAAGTGACTTAACGAAGGCGGTACTTGTAGGTAAATAGAGACTAGGTGGATCTAAACCAAGAGCCTTGCCTCTAGAACTGGTGCTTTATTTATTTATGGAGGGGAGGCTGTTGGAAACAGCCTTCTGTGCCGCGTTGAGCAAACAGCTTTTTTGAGAAGATGGGAAATGTGTGTAGGGTTCAGTTTGGGTCAATAAGAGCTGGTACTGTTTTGGAATCTTCCCTCCCCTCTCCAGAACGCAGTACCATACATAGTAGAAAGAGGCCAGCTTTAGTTTTCAGTCTTAATGAAATTAACTGTAAGCCCTCTCTTTGTCAGGCTTGGAAGTTAAGTGCAAATCCTGCTCCACATTTGTTTCTTTGTGTATCATGCTGATATTTGTTAACTGAGATAACATTTAGGCATCTTTGTACCCGTTACTGTTAGATGGCAATTAAATGGAATCATTTAATTAAAATGTTATTCCGATGGTACATCAAACAATTGCCTTTTGATGGAATGGGAGTAGATAACTTGCACTATACATTAAGGTTTTAATTCCTAACCGTTTTGAATAGCCAGGGTTTCTGATCAGTTTATACCCTATTTTTGTGTTAATCTTTTCTATTGGAAATATCCCTAGGATGTATCTATTCTTAAATATAATTTCTGAGGATAATTTAATGTACATCATTTCTGTTGATTTCAAAGATGGGATACTGACCCCTGTAGCAAGTTTTGGTTCTTTTACATTTGTAGTTTTTCTCTTGTAAGTATAAACTGTTCATGTAGGTGTTCGTGTAACCATTCTCATTTCTAAATTTGCCACTTCTCTTGGGTGCTTAGGTAGGTAATTCATCTTTTTAAACAGTAGGATTTTATCAATATTGTACATCAGACTTAGTTTCAGATACTGGTTTCACTTCCAGATTTACTAGATCTTCAAGCTTGTTTCTTCCTAAAAACGGTAATTAGTGTAGTTGAAAATGAAATACTGTTTAGTGGGAAAGTGGAATTTATAAAGCTCTGTGTGGATGTTATTTGATGTTTACAGACATTTGTGTTTAAGAAATCCAGGAATAGCTACTTCTGCCTTGCTTCCTGGTAGCTAGAACAGTAGAAAACTCGTTCAGAGATTAAGTGTTACCTTTTTGGTTGTCTTTAAGTTTTCAGTGTTACTTTTTTTTCATTACAGGTTGTGAACTAAAGGCTGACAAGGATTATCACTTTAAGGTGGATAATGATGAAAATGAGCACCAGTTATCTTTAAGAACGGTACTTAAATTTTCCAAACTACACTACTTTTCTTGATATCAGCTTATTCCTTTTTGTGTGACTTAACACTTTCGTAATATCTTATAACTGAGTATTGTATATACATGATAATGTACCTGTGGTATAAAACTTGGCATCTTTACCTCTCGTTTGGTAATCATGTGAAGTTCAGTCACACTACTGTTCATCATTCCACATTTATGTACTTTGTTTCTTTGGCTGCATTATAAAACCCTTTAGGGCAGCGATGATTCTTTTTTGTACTCCCCAGTAAGGCCTGTAGCCTTATTGCCTAACTTGTGGTAGGTGGCCAGTAAATGTTAAGTGATCCATACTGGGGGTAGCTGATACCTACAACTATGCCATCAAACATATTTCTCTGCATTTGTTCAAATGTGTCAAGTATGAGAAATTGATTGGCAAGGTGACATAAAACTTGAAGAAAATGTGTACAAATTAGTTTTCTTTCAGTGGTGATAATAGGTTTATAATTGCCTTTTTTATTTTTTTTTTTGAAGACAAATTTTGGGATTGTAAAATAGAAACTTAAGCTGAAATAACTATCTTTGTTCACAGGTCAGTTTAGGAGCTGGTGCAAAGGATGAATTGCACATTGTTGAAGCAGAGGCAATGAATTATGAAGGCAGTCCAATTAAAGTCACACTGGCAACTTTGAAAATGTCTGTACAGCCAACGGTAAGGGCACTTAAACTTTGGGTTTTATGTCAAGGTCTAATTGTATTGGATTAAAGTAGATGTCATTTAGGTTACACCAAGGACCTAGAAGGAGGAATTTCCTTTGGTTCTTCTAGTAGCAGTAGCTGTGTCTTTTGTCACTGTGGTGGTGAATGATCACTCTTGAACATAGTGGTTTGCTACTTGTTTGTCAGAAGTGGAAAAACAGGTTCACTGGTTTGTTCATTTGGTTTATGAGTTTGCTTGTAATGCCTATAAACGCAAACATTTTTCTAAGTCTGTTGTGAACAGGTTTTTATACCGAACCTTTAACCTTAGAAGTTTCTCCTTTTTAGGTTTCTCTTGGGGGCTTTGAAATAACACCACCTGTGGTCTTACGGTTGAAATGTGGTTCAGGGCCTGTGCATATTAGTGGACAGCACTTAGTAGGTATGTTATTATGTATTATGCTGTCTATCCTCAAATGCAGTTGCTTTGTTCCCTATTTGAAATTTGAAAAGCATGTTTAGTTCTAATACTATTGTTTTTGTAATTGTTCAAAATGGAAATAACTGGAAAAGCTTTTTTTTTTTTTACATTTAAGACCTAGTAGAATATTAGCCTTGAAAAGTACTTTTTAAAAAATATTTCTGTTCCCAATTTGCTGTTTTTCTAGTAGTCTTTGTTTTTAAATGCTCATTACTGTACGTTATGCCCCTTCTTTCTGAGTTCTTGCTTGTTGGTTGAGTTTTAATAGCAGCTAACAAATTTTATTTTAGCTGTGGAGGAAGATGCAGAGTCAGAAGATGAAGAGGAAGAGGACGTGAAACTCCTTAGTATATCTGGAAAGCGTTCTGCTCCTGGAAGTGGTAGCAAGGTTCCACAGGTAGGTGAAATTACTGCAGATACCGTATTCTGGCCTTTACTTTTGTGATTAAGGTCAGCACTTAATCATGATTTTAGGGGTGTGTATATGTTTATATATATATGTGTACTTTTTTTTTTTAAGAAAAAAGTAAAACTTGCTGCTGATGAAGATGATGATGAAGATGACGACGATGATGATGATGATGAAGAGTAAGTATGCTTTTAGAAGCTTGACAGTTGTATGGGGAGTAGTTTATGAAAATTAATTACTACAGTCATCCTGTGAAATTAATACAATTAAAGGGTAAATGGTCTGTGGTTGTCACATTGAATTAAAATAAATGAATTAAAGAATATTTTTGGGATTAAGAGCCTTTAAAATGCTGCAGTGTATTACAAATTTTCAAAAGAATATGCAGCATTTCCCAAATGTATTTGACTAGATACACCTTTTTTCTGAGGAAGATTTAGTGAATCTCTGGTAACAAGTCTGTTGGTACTTTTTTTATTGAATAGTATATCCTAAGTGGTTGGGTAGAAAGCATCTGAATGGTTCCAGCTACATTCATTTTTTAAGTTGTCACTTGATTTTTTTCCCCCCATAAAGGATTTTGGCTCATAGTTCTTTAGTCCTTACTGGTAAAGTAAGATTCTTCTAAAAGAGATTAAGAAGGGGTGCCTGAGTGGCTCAGTCTGTTGGGCCTCTGCCTTCTGCTCAGGTCATGATCCCCCAGGGTCCTGGGATCAAGCCCTTCAACGGGGGATCTGCTGCTCCCACTGCCCCTCCCCCTGCTCGTGCTCAGTGTGTGTGTGCATGTGCGCGCGCACTCTCTCAAGTAAATAAAATTTTAAAAAGATAAAGATTTTCGAGGAAGATTTTCGAGGAGGATTTAATATTTGGAAACAATTTGATGATAGATTTATTAAACTTGATCAGGCTAAGGTAGAGTTACATGCACACTACAGAATAAAATGCTGTTTGTAATTGGTCTTTCCTATGTGCAGTAATATCAGTAATTTCTGTTAAGTTGAACTTCGAATTACTTGTCAGCTTTGTTCCTGAGTTCCCAGGTTGGTCCATATGTATTTATTGAAAACATAATTCAAATAAAATCTAAGAAAGTCTGATCTAACACATACTAGGTAATGATCAAATATGAGAGTTAAGTTTTCAGTAACTTCAACTAGCCAAGCTGGTAGTTCTTAAAAAAAAACCTTTGAGCATGAGAGTTGAAGGCAGAAAGTAGGAAAAGACAAAGTTGAATGCTTAAAAAACTCAAGATTACCCCCCAAACAGTGTAGTTGGTGTTTTACTGTTAACTAGTTTTGAGAATAGTTATCGTTAGTCAGAATTAAAATGATATACCCCAAGAGAAGAATGGGAAATGGACTAAAAAGAGAAATGAGGAATATGAATGGTGTATGTACTTAAATTTTAATTTAATTTAGTCCTTGATTTTAAATTACCTTTGTGTAGGTTTACTGTTTATGTCCAGTAGCATATTCAGTGAGGAGATAATCCCTTCTAGGAAGGCTTTGGAGTAGGACCCGATGATTATCTTGATTCTGCTGGGGTTTTGAAAGATTTCTGGTCTTTAAAATGGGTATATTTCCTGATATAACCACAGTGTAGAATAGTTTTGTGTTCTTCCTCTAAGTTCCCTCTAAGTTGTCTTCATGTTTGGTAGTGCGGGAGGAATGAAATAAATACATATAGATGTTAATCAAGGTCCAAATTTTCATATAAGGGAAAAAAGGGCGGGTAGTCAGATAAATGTATAGGTAAGGATAGTTATTTTAAGACTGATAAAATTGGTTTTATAGAAATCCTTGTTACCTTGTTTCTAGTGTGGCAAGGAACATACAGGGATTGGGTCCTAAAGTCAAAATTGACAGAATCACTTTAAAGGACCTATATGTGTGTGTGTATATATAGCTTTACACGTACTACATGATACTAGGGCATCATATTAAATTTACCCCAGTTCTGGAAAGATGGGTGTTTTCTTTGGTGCACAGAGATGAAGTTGATCCTGTTTTAAATTTAGAGACTACGTAATGTGGAAAAGAAAAACACTGCCTGGTATAAAAGTTAGGTTTGTGAAGTAATTAAAGCATGAACTAGAGCCACTATTAGCTAATACTTAAATGGACTTCTCAGATTAGATTTTTCCTCCTAATTCACCTATTTAGAATTAGAATGTACTATTCAGTGGTTCTGAAGTTATATTGCACAATTGTGCAGTCATCACAATTTTAGAACATTTCCTCAAAAAGAAACCATACTATATAACCGTTTATATTCCCCAGCTCTAGTCAACCACTAACGTACTTTGTCTTTTATAGATTTGTCTATTTTAGATATTTCATGTAAATGGAATCGTACATACAACATGTGATTTTTGTCTTGAGTTTTTAAGAACCATGCATGTTGTAGCATTACTAGTACTTGTCTTGATATAATTAAGTTGTAAGAGGTTTTTTTATGTTTGGGGACAAGCACCTTATCAGATACAATTCACAAATATTTTCTCCCATTCAGTGGATTGTCTTTCCGCTATTGAGTTATGGTATTCTTTGCACAAAAGTTTCTTTCTTTATTCCCTTCTTTGTAATTGAAGCGTAGTTGACCATACGGTGGTCACATTGTATGTGCACATTAGCTTAAATTTTTGTTTTTAATGATTTGTGAAGTCCATTTTATTTCTTTGGCTGCTTGTGCTTTTTGGTATTAAACCTAAGAAGCCATTGCCAAATCTTTTGAAACCTTTACTATGTTCTATATTTAGATTTTTGATACATTTTGAATCCATTTTTGTGTGGTGTGGTTACGGGAACCAACTTAAATTCTGCCTGTGGATTTCTAGTTGTCCCAGCACCATTTGTTAGACTTTTTTCACCATTGAATTGACAGTCTGATCACTGTTGTTGAAAATAATTACTATAAATATATGGGTGTATTTCTGGACTCCTCAGTTCCATTGATGTGTGTCTGTCCTTAAACACTGGTAAAACATCTTGATTTCTGTTGCTTTGTAGTTGTTGTGGGTTTCCTTTGAAAAAACACTTAAGTGAATCCTCCAACTTTGCTCTTTTTCAAGATTGTTCTTGGCTGCTTTGGGTTCTTGAATTTTGATACAGATTTTAGGATCATTTTCTACAGAGAAGCTAGCTGGGACTCTTCAGGGTTATGATGAATCTGTAGATTAATTTGGAGAGTTGCTACCTTAGTAAGAATGTTTCCACTGATCTGTGAACATAAGTTGTGTTTCTATTTAATTTCTTTAAACTGCGATCTCCAATTTTTATATTTTTTCATTTAGTTGTAAAAGAATACAATATTTACCATCTTAACTATTTTTTAAGTGTACAGTTTAGGAGTACTAGCCATATTCATACTGTAGTAGATCTTAGATAACTCTTTCATCTAGTAATACTGAAAATAATACTCATTGAATGAAAACCGCTCATTTCCACCATTCTCCAGCCCCTGGCAACCACGAATCTATTTCTGGGTTCTATAAAGACTATAAAAATTACTTTAATGTCTCATTAAGTGGGATCATACAGTATGTGTCTTTGTGTGACTGTTCTGTTTCAGTTAACATAATGTTTTCAAGGTTCATCCATGTTTAACATGTGACAGGATTTCCTTTAAAACTGAATATTCCAGGGGCACCTGGGTGGTGCTCACTTGTTTAGGTGTCCAACTCTTGATTTCAGCTCAGGTCATGATCCTCAGGGTCTTGAGGTAGGACCCCACCCCCCCCCAGGCCCCATGCTTGCTTGCTCGCTCGCTCTCTCAAAAATCTGAATATTGTAATAATAACTACCAAAATCTGAATATTCCATCGGTTGTATATATGACATTTTTTATGTATTTGACTGCTAGTGGTTATTTGGGTTGCTTACACCTCTTGGAAATTGTGAATAATGCTGTAATGAAGATGAACATGCAAATAGCTCTTCAAGATCCTGCTTCTAAATCTTTTGTCAGTCCCCCAAAAATTTGGAAGTTCTTAATGTCTTGATTGACTTAAACTTGTAGGTTCATCCAATTTCTGCATATGCTTTTTTGGCTTATGAGTGCATGGAATCAGTAATAATGACTCATTTCATTTGTAGTGATGATGATGATGATTTTGATGATGAGGAAGCTGAAGAAAAGGCTCCAGTAAAGAAAGTAAGTAGGATACAATGGTATGAGGTTGTCCGAAATAACTAATAACAGAAATGATGGAAATTTTTTAGTGCTTTTCACTTGTTTTGTAATTAACAAAAGCTGGCTTGGGAGGATTTGATGATCTCATACTTAAATTAGTCCTGAGTAGGGTTTTCGTCCTAAAAACTTTCCTAGTGTTGCAGAACAATCTATTTTCTTTATCCATGTGGCCTTCTCCCGCTTTGTTAGTTCAGAATGACTGTCTTAGCCTGACTGCTGCTTTTGTTATGTGGTTTGGGGAAGTTTTATTTGCACTCATGTCTGTTGTGTAGGAGGGCATTGATTAAGATTAATTTCTAATTGCAGTCTATACGAGATACTCCAGCCAAAAATGCACAAAAATCAAACCAGAATGGAAAAGACTCAAAACCGTCAACACCAAGAACAAAAGTAAGTGGCAACATACAAAAACATAGCTTTCATTGAAGTAGTTAGAAAAATTAAAAATTCTCCTGTGAAAGAAGCTAGTCTGAAACTTGACATTGTTTGGAGAATACTTGTAATTGGTGTCTCAAAGAGCTAAAGTGTGCTGGCTGGTAATTATTGTCCTAGATGTATGACTGCTGGCATTCTGGTGGAGGAGGGTGCCAACAGAAAGATTTTTATTGCATTACAAACAGTTGTGTCCTGTAAGGAGTTGGTTGAAAGTATTATTTTATGGCATAGTGTAGTTTTTCAACCCTGGCTGTGTGTTAGAATCTAACAGCTTAAAAGAACCACAGTACCTGGGCTTGGAGATTATTAGAAGCCACAACATGGGCCTCGGGCATTTCAAATTGCATTTACTTGCTTCATCCTTGGGGCCTTTGGGTTTCAATTTTGAAACCTTTTTAAGTGTAGAACTGATCTGGTGTGGAATATAAAAGCAAGCTCAAACTATTCCTATTTTTTACAAGGAAGGATTGTAAATAAGAGTGATTTTCTTGAGAAAAGCCAGGTAGATAGGGGATGGGTCTTAAAAGAGCTGTACTCTAAGGACCTTTTTAAATTCATCTTTTTTTTTCCCCCCAGGGTCAAGAATCTTTCAAAAAACAGGAAAAGACGCCCAAAACACCGAAAGGACCTAGTTCTGTAGAAGACATTAAAGCAAAAATGCAAGCAAGTATAGAAAAAGTGAGTAAAGGGATCTTTCCTGAAAAACTAGATAGGTTTATTCCTTCCTCTGTTAAAATAATAACCATTGTGAAGGCTTGGGACTAGATTATTATTTTTTATTTTTTATATACCTGTCTCGTTTTGTTTTCAGAAATGGAGTTTTTTATATTCATTTCTAATCATGATTTTTCATGTGTATTTGAATTTATATTTCCTTTTCTTTTATAAAAGAAATACAAGTAAGTTTTAAGATTCATTCTGACCTTCGTTCAAGTTTTCCCTTGCTTGTTCTTTTCTTAGTTCAGTAGTTTCCTTTGTTTTTTTTTTTTTTTTTTGGTTGTAAGATGCTACAGAACCAGCAGAGGGCGTTTGAGTCTTTTATAAAATTGCAAGCCTCTGGAAAAGTGGAGACTGGTTGCTTGTTGGTATAGTTAAAAAAATACTCATGACTGACTCTAGTCAAACATTTTCCAGCAAATTTGAGTCCTTTCTATTTGCATTTTATACTAAGATATTAGTGGTCGATATATGTGATATCTTGAATCCTTGATATGCTTTATTTAGTTGCCTTGTGTCTTAGTGGGAATGTGAGAAGAAATTAGCTCTCGTCCTGCTGCTTTTATTGATTGGGAAACTAAACTTACTAAACCTTAGTGAACTTGGACTTGTAGAATAATACGGAATAAACAGTTTAAATGTCTTGAAACATTTGACAACTATAATTTTGTGAGTTAAAATATAAGACCCCAATTAGTGAGAGTAAAGGTGGGATGGTGAGGAAAAGTTGCTGACTCCTTTCCTCATGTTTTTCCTGTGCTTTCTAAGTTTTAACTTGGCTTCAGTAGATTTCCTTGTGCAGTGAGGAGTCAATTGGAAAAATAACATTTAGAACCCGAATGTGTGTGTTTTTGCTTTAGTACTACTGTATACCTTTCTAGTTTCTGGTATCACTGCTTTATTTTTATCCCTTGCATACAATGCTAAAATGACATCTTTTAGATTCCCCCCCCCCATTTTAATATGGTCCTATCTCCTTGGTTTAATTACAGGCGAATTGAACAGTCCTGGGCACTACTGGTAAATTAAACCCAAAGCTGGGGAGAGAAAAAGGAGAGACAAATATAGTCCCTACTGACTGTCATCAACAATCCAGACTGAAGTCTCAGATCCCCTTTCCTGATTGCCACCCACCCACACCCCCTTCCAGGCTGGAAGCAATCTCATTCTTGATCTCCCAAAGCACTTTTCTTGTGACTGCTGTGATTCAGTGACCCCTTACACTTGGCTTTCTATGATGTGTGCATTTGCCTCACCTCTTTGACAATGTTTTAATCACTTTTGTATCTCCCTAGCTGTTCAATAAATATTTTAATGAATCAAATAAGAATGTATGTGACAATAATTTAAAAATGGAAATTACAGTGAGGTTTATTTTCTAGATTATAGAGGCAACTTAAAGGATCTTACACCATACCTCTTGATCACTAGCCTATTTTGTGCCATGATTTCTTTGGCATTCTGAAACCTTGATCTTTTAAAATGCATAAATGCGTAGACGATTCAGGTTACAAGGAAAATTAAAATTTAGTTATCCAAAGAGCAAACAAAGAGGATATACTTAGTATATTAAATAAGATTATTCAAAAGTAGTAAGTGACAAACAATGTTGATTTCTTTGTATATGGTACTCACAAGGGGGGGGTATACATTTATATTTGGTTCTGGGTGGTATGTAATAAGAGTAGGCGATCAGATTGACATTTGAGTCCCTGAAGAATCTGAAGTGTAGCTTATATTTTGTATTTTTAGAGTGGTTGGAGAGAATTTGAAACTTTGACAAACCTATCAATATGGGAATACTATGAAAGATCTAGGTTTTTTTCTCTCATTTAAATGCAATTGATTGACGTATGGCGTATTATTAGTTTCAGAAGTAGAGTTCAGTGACTCATCAATCTTCTATAATACCCAGTGCTCATTACATCACTGTGCCCTCCTTAATGAAAGACCTAGGTTCTAAATATTGTTGCCCAGTAGGTGTTTCTGGGCCTAAAAACAAAGCATTGAAATGAAAGAGTTGAATGAATATGGAATGAACCAATGATCCATGTAATAGCATGAAAATCTGTGAGGAATTTGATAATATCTCAAAAACAGTGTTTCTGTACTTACCCTTAATAATACTTTTGTCTCCTAGGGTGGTTCTCTTCCCAAAGTGGAAGCCAAGTTCATCAATTATGTGAAGAATTGCTTCCGGATGACTGACCAAGAGGTAACTGAGTTTTCAGGAGAGATGACCAAATCCAAGTATTTTATTGTGATTTATTTATAATTCTTTTAGTTTAAGTGTTGGCTTCTTTTAAAAGGTTCCTAACCACAGACAGCACTTCAGATTAAATACATGGGAACTTAAGAGTTTAGTTGGCAGAGATTGAGAAGATGACTCTTTAAGTACATTTTTCTCAACTTTTTATATAGTTGGTAAATTATCTCTTGGTTGCTGAACTCACCTTTACTTTTGGTACTCTGTTGGCTAAGGAAGATTCTGTGGTTTTCCTTGCTGCTCCATTTGAGTACTTGAGGTAGTCTGGACTTTGCTTTCTTGTGCATTGGCAGAGACCATTTCCTCCATAGGTCTTAGGGGAAGCACATTTTACTAAAATCAACCTAAAATGTCAAATCTGGAAGCAAGAATCCAAATTGTAGTTAGTACTCAGTATATTAGTTTGAGTCAACTGTTAAGTATTGTATTTCTTACACATTTTGTCAATAGAAAAAGTTCATGCATTTTTACTGTCTTATTTATGGTTGCTGACTCAGATTTTAAAGGAAAATGTAAAAACAGGTAAGGTTGGTTGCTAGGTGTCTTGTATATACAGAATATTCTGTGTTAAACGGTTTTTGTCAATCCCTAAGCTTCAAAACTTTTTTCAGTGAATGAAGAATTTTGTCAGTTTGAGCTAATTTTCTGCCATTTAGTACTTAGATGACTTAAATGGCAGCACTATTTTTCTCCAGTTTGAAATGCTTTCAAGTGTTTCAACACTGTTTACTGTTGTTGAGTTCAGCCTTTATTGACATGGCGATGAAATTCAATATCACACTCTTTTGGTTGCTATTCTGTTTGTGTACATTTGAACCCCAAAATGCAAGTGTGAATTTTCTGAGTAGTGGATATTTGTTAAACAAAAATGCTTGTGAAACTGCAATATGCAATTGTTAGTTCAATATTGCATAGTGGAAAGTAAGCTGTAAACCAGCATTACTAACAAGGAAGCATAAGACATGATTTCTCCCACTAGTACCAAAGAAAGTGGTGAAATATAATTTGCGATTAAGAAAAATTCAGGGGAAGATAAAATAATAACCAAAGTTGTAAAAGGCCTTCCACACAGTGTATTTTCAGTCTTGGCAGCTGATGACTGAACTCACTGCCTTCAGAAGTATTTGAGTCTGAAATTGGAAGCCTATTTTCAAGTACAAGGGTGAAATTTCTACAATATTAAAAAGTAGTTCTGTTTATTATTACAGAGATTATCAAAACTATAAATGCCTCATGTTTTTACAGCATACCCACAGATAAAGGTCACAATGTATGAAGAAATTTTTCCATTGCTTGTGTAATTTTTTTGTGAAAAAGAGTTGCTTATGAGGATTTGGCTAGTAAAATCCCTTCCAGGTGGGATTTAAGAAATACTAGCAAATCTTTGCAGAAGCTCTTGAATTAAAAGTTAAAACAATTGTACTGCTTTTTGTGGAGAAATGACAGATCAAATTTGGTGAATATTTATGTAAAGATACAATGTTTACTAAAAGTGATGATTCTATAAAAGGTGTTTTGCTGTCCTCGTTCTACATAGTACTACTCAAGTGACATCTGATGTTTCTTTTGACTGGAGTGTCATGTGATTGTTCTTAAACATTTATATTGAACTGAATGAATGGGGGGGTTGTGAGATTTACTTATGTTTGATACTCAGTTCTCTTGTGTTTGAAACCCAGTGGTTGTTGAATAATAGCAGTTGAGAGAATCCTATTTATTTGAAGCACTGAAATCCTACTTTTGTAGAAAAGACTCCAAATGTTCTTAGTTTTAAATGGTTCATTGAATAAAGCCTACTTATTTCTTATATATAGTTTTAAATATCTGTTTAGCAGTAGGATTATGTAAATTCAGAGACGATCAAAGAACTCACTGAAGTACACTCCTTTGTTTAAAGGAATTTGTTAAATCCTGTAGAATTGACAAATATCAAGACTTTTTATTTATATTTTTAAAGATTTTTTAAGAACCCTCACATCCATCACAGGGTTTGAACCACAACCCCAAGATCAAGATTTACATGCTCCACCAACTGAGCCAGCCAGGCATCTCAAGATTTAAAAGAATGTTATTTATGAAAAAGAAATGCCAACTTGAAGTGGATAATTAATAACTAGTTAACTGAGACTGTCATATTTAAAGAACGATTCTTTTATATGGATGTGAATACTAGCATGAGAACAAGTATAGGTTTCATGATGTGTCAAAGGAGGACATAGAAATGGACAGGGATACTTTTGTCAGTAGACCACATTAAATCATTAGATTTTAAGAATGGAAAAGCAGATTATGTCTTGGAAGATGGGTGTTAAGTGATTTAACAAACCCAGATAAGAACAAGTCTGAGTAGTTAATCTGGTGTGTTTCGAGTAAATAAAATTTTTTAGTATGTGTTCCATAGGCTTAGAAATAAATGTGTTTAACTGTGTGTTCTGTATTTTTATGTGCTAAATCTGGCAGCCCTAAAGCAGATGACATTGGCCAAACTGGCCTCTACTCTTGAATTTCATTTATCAAGCTGTTACATACATATTAGTACCATTGACTCTGCTTAGAAAGATTCACATGATTTTATGTCTGATTTGAAGTATTTGAAATTAAATTGTCTGAGTATAAATTTCCTTGAAATCAGTTCTTAATTATGTAGTGGACCTTTTTGGTGGTAGGATGAAAAATAGATACGTTGAACTGTACAAAGAGACATGGTTTAATTTATTGGTGTCTATGAAGTGTTGTGGTTCTTTAACCGCATTTCTTTTTTTTCCAGGCTATTCAAGATCTCTGGCAGTGGAGGAAGTCTCTTTAAGAAAATAGTTTAAACAGTTTGTTAAAATTTTCCGTCTTATTTCTTTTCTGTAACAGTTGATATCTGGCTGTCCTTTTTATAATGCAGAGTGAGAACTTTCCCTACCGTGTCTGATAAATGTTGTCCAGGTTCCATTGCCAAGAATGTGTTGTCCAAAATGCCTGTTTAGTTTTTAAAGATGGAACTCCACCCTTTGCTTGGTTTTAAGTATGTATGGAATGTTATGATAGGACATAGTAGTAGTGGTGGTCAGACAAATGGAAATGGTGGGGAGACAAAAATATACATGTGAAATAAACTCAGTATTTTAATAAAGTAGCACTGTTTCTCTTTCTGTTATTTACCCTTCTTATACTTTGTCAGAGAAATAAATGTACATAGTTAAAAGTGTCAAATAGTACCCTAAAATCCCCTGAGAAGCAGTCCCTGCCCTACCCCTCCAAATAGTTCTGCTTCTCAGAGTTAACCCTTCTATTTTTTGTGAGCATTTAATGTTTAAAGCTTCTCACCTCTTGATAACAGATGATAATTATGACCATGCAAGCATGTTTCCAAATGTTCAGTCAAACCACCTATGCACATTAGCCCAGTTTTTACTGGTAAAATGTGGCATGTTTACACCTTGCAGCAGCTTTTCTCAACTTGGGTTCTTAATCTGAACGAGAACAGAAAATGAATTCCTGTTGACTGTTTTTTGAATTTGCCCAAAATAGCACATAATTTAAACATTTTTAGATTCATGGGGAAAGAATTTATTGCATGTAGTGGTTACAGGAGGACATTCAGGGGCTAATCCTTGGCATCTTTTATCTGTTTTACCCTGTGCCAGTTGCATGATGGTTGTGTAGATTACTATTCTTCCTCTTGTTTTGCTGTGGTGTCTCCGGGTGGTTTGCTAGTATATGAGGAGGTATTTTCTGACTACTTTTAATCTTGAAAAGTCAATTTTTGACATAAAATTCAGTGCTGCTAAATCTTTTCCTCAGAATTTTAATTGTGCCCTTTATGGCTTAGGCTATTGCCGTTTTCATGTGTTGTTTTGTATATGACCCGTTTTCCTGAGAACTGATTAAGATTGCCCTCTTGCTGGTTTCCTGAAATTTTATAATTTGTCTTGTTCTGGGACCTGGGTAGACTGGGTCTGTTCTCCACAGATTCTCCTGTTTGGGGGCATGTTCTTGGGAGACTTTGCTCTCCTGCTTAACTTCTATCTGTTCTTGGGCCTTTTGTTTGATGCTGTTGGATGTTTTTCATCATTCCTTTTTGTTTAAACTTTAGGAGAAAGGACTATTTTATGTCTTCAAATTTGTGTTGGTTGTATTGTAAATACTCTTCCTTGGTGTTTGGGGACATACATAAAGTTTGAAGGAACGCTTTTCACCCCATGCATTGTTTACTCTTTTTTTCTTTCCTATCTTATATTGATTAGGAGGATTGCTTTCTTTGATTAGGCTGTAGTTCAAAATACTCTGATGGGAATGAGCAGATAAAAGGCTGATGTCTTTTAATCTTTGGAATGGTTTTGGTAGAGCAACCTTATTTTTTTTTTTTATTTTACTTTTTTAAGTAGGCTCCACATCTAACTGAAGTGTTGTGGTTCTCAAAAGAGTCAGAGACGCCCTAGGGGCTGAGCCAGCCCAGCAGGTGCTCTGAGTAACCTTACTTTTGGGGGGTGGGAAAGGTTGGTGCAGTACTGTCTTTCTAAATCCCACTTTCCAGGCTTCAGGTGCCTCTTCTAGTCATTGACTTCAGGTTTTGGTTTCCTTCATTGATTATTCCGTTTCCTCTCCAGGGTGTCTGTCCTTGTAGCTTCTCTCCTTTTATATCTTATTTTAATGGAGATTCAGTTGGAAATGGTAAATGTTCATTGTTCTTAATTTCACTGGAAAGTACCTCTATTTTAAATGATGTTTTTACGTTTAATGTTTAAAAGATCATGTTTTAAATTCATAGAATCTCAAAATGCTTAACCTGCACATGAATTTGAAAAAGTTACTAGTGTTAAATAGTGCCACAGTATTAACTAAGAACTAAATACATTAAAGATGAGTCATTCCTTCCCTAGATAGTGTTTCACATCACAGTATATGATGATGTATATTAGGTAATTAGTTACTTAAAATGTTCAGAAGTAGGTGTATATTTAGGTTTTAATGACTTAACCAAAATGTAGGTCTGATAGGTTTATTATTTGAGTTGCTTTGTGTAGAAGTTAACCCTTGGGCTTAGCTGATGGGTACTTAATGTAGCAGGAAAACCAAAAGGACTTCTCCCCATTCTGAGAGAAAGCTATTGGCCTTACTGGTGGTCCTGTTCTTGCAAGTTCAGTTAAGCTGATCAGATCCATCTTTGTAAAAGATTGAAGGTAGGGCATGTTTTCTTGTGCCTCCAAAGTCACTTAATAGTGCTTGGTTTGGTACTGGACCTCAGCCAACAAAATATGGTAATCTGAAAATTGAACTCCTAGGCTTGTGACTAGAAATTCTTTAAAAAACACTTTGGTGCAGTGCAAACTGTTAAGTGAGATTGGCCATACTTATATCAATATTGGTTTAATTGCTAAAAATCATACAGTTGTACTTAGGGAAAACAAAAATTTTAAAGTATTTTTAGTTTCTAAGACTAATGAGAAAATTACTTCCCTTGTCCCTAGTACTAATTTTTTTTATTTATGGAACACCTGGGTGGCTCAGTTGGCTTAAGTGTCTGCCTTTGGCTCAGGGTCATGATCCCAAGGTCCTGGAATCAAGTCCCACATCGGGCTCCTTGCTCAGCAGGGAGCCTTGCTGCTCCCCCTGCTTCTGCTCTGTCTCTCTGACAAATAAAATCTTTAAAAAATTTTTTGTCCGTGAGTGCACAAGCAGGGGGAGCTGCAGGCAGAGGAAGAAGTATCCCCACTGAGAAGGAGCCTAACTGAGCCACCCAGGTGCCCCTAAAGTACTTTTTGATGGAATAACTATATTTCCCTTTGTTAAGCCAGTCTGTTGAATGTTTAATGGCTTATTCTTTAGCAATACCATTCACTATTTTGCAGGCATTTTCTTTAAAATCCCCACTTGTATTGCCTCTACCTGACTTTTGAAAAACATTTTAATGTTCTGTTCTTTACCAGTTTTCAGAATGATACGTTGATGTTTTAGCAACCTCCAAAAGTAGTGAGTTTTTTTTTTTTAAAGTAGTGAGTTTTAATTAAGTACTTTGGATTCAGATTTTTATGTATTGGTATTTCGTTCTTACATCTTTTTTGGCTGATGGAGTCCCCTTCAAGCTTGTTCCTACCATCACAGACTCTAGTAGTCTGATAGTGTCTTGCTTTCTAGTGAGAAAATGTTCCAGGTTCATCTTCATTTTCTTTCTCAGACCTGGAATGATCCATTTCTTGCAAAGAATGGCAGGGATGCCTGGGTGGCTCAGTCAGTTAAGTCTGATCTCAGGGTCCTGGGATCGAGCCCTGCATGGGGCTCCCACTCCTGCCCCTCCCCCTGTCTTGCTTGCTCTCTCAAAATTCTTTAAAATAAAAAATGGCAATTAGGAACTGTCTGGGTGGGTGGTGCTCATAAGCTTCACTTTATGGATGATCAGATCAGACTGGAAAAGCAGTGGGGAATTGTCAGCATTTGGAGGGCAGTGATGGCACTTGGGTAACTTGAGGGAAGCTTCTCTTCATTTGATACTTAATCGTGTAAGGTTGTGTTACTTTAATTTCAACCACAGAACATAATAAGGCCATTTGGGGAGAGCAGATCAGACTCTAAATGGACCCATGCAAGTAATAGTATGAGGTTTATAGTTAGTCATAAAGCTGCAGAAGCTCCTATGTGGTCTTGACAACCAGTAGCTTAATGAGGGAGAGAAACCGTCCAGGTTGTGGGGCTTTTGTTTGAAATTGTCCAAGAAAAGTTGAGGGTCGCATACACTGAGCCTCTGAATAAAAGGTAGTGGTCTGGGCTCTGGAGAAAAAGGATTAAAGTTTAATTTTTTAAAAATTCCAGTATAGTTAACAATAAAGGGTTAATGTTATTTCAGAGTCTAAGGCTACCTTCCAGCCAGTTCTTGCCAAAGAGCCAGTTGCTCCCTGACTCATGCATTTGGCAGTAGAGGTCCTGTTTAATGCTGTGAAAGTTCTAAGAGCTGGTTTTGAGAAAATTTTAGAGCCTCGTCTGTGCTAAGGGTCTGTCTACTCTTACCAAACTACTTGATCCTATTGAAGGCTTGAGGCTCTGTTCTGTGTTCTTAGGCTGGAGGTTCTCCTATCTGTATCCAAAATACTTGTATTCTATAGACTCCCTGAATTTTGTGAGTCTTAAATTGGAGAAAAGTAGAAAATGTCAGGTTGCTGTGCTGTATATTACTTTCATACTTGAAATAGATAGGAATCTAAAACATTTAACTACATACTGTGTCCCAAAGTTCTGGTTGTTTAGGATTAGTAAGCAAAACCGTTAACTTGCCCTGCGGGGCATACATCCCATTGCACTAGCAGTCAATATACATTCTCAACTCCCTTTAAATTTTCAGTCCCACATAAGACAACAAGGGGGTTTACAGATGAGAATCTGCTCAGAAAATTGCAAGTTTACTAGCTTACAACGGGGAATTTGATGTAGCCATGCAGTCATCCATCCCAAACTACAGTTGCCTGGACTGGTAATAGCCTTCTTGGCCCCCCAAGTACCATAGTCGGACCATTCCAATTCATTCTTTACTTTAGCACCTGTGATAAAGCTGTTGAAAAGCAAATTCATTCTGACCCTTAGTTTCAAAGCCTTTGACAGACTAATTGCCAAACATAATAGTACCTCCACACTGTTGAGTACTATTTGGCAATTAAAAGAAATGATAAAAGCAACAATGAATGAGGGTGAAATCTCAAAAACATATAACAAAAGCTGGACACAAAATAGCACAATAATACATGGTTCTATTTACATTACACTAGAATCTAGTGCCAACAAATTAATGTTAATTTGGGATCAGCAATGGGTGTGGGGAGGATGCCTTAGGTGTTTACAGGGTGTCTGGGTGGCTCAGTTAAGGCCTTTGCCTTCAACCTAGGTTATGATCCCAGACCCTGGGATCAGGCCCCTCATTGGGCTCCCTGCTCAGCGGAAAGCCTGCTTATCCCTCTCCCACTCCCCCTATTTGTGTTCCCTCTCTTGCTTTCTGTCAAATAAGTAAGATCTAAAAAAAAAAATGTTTACATAGATCTTTGTTAAACTCTGAGCACTTAAAACAGACTTAAAAAAATTGTATATTAAGTAGTGCCTTTAAAAAAGGCCTTTGGCTACCTATTGGCCTCTGAGAGCCTATGAGGCATGATCAAGTATTTGCCTGTTTTTACCCTGAACTTTTGCCACTCACCCTGGCTATTCCTGCCTGTTACCTAGCTTTTTCCTACCTGTAGGCACTTGGTGTCTTTTGCTTGGAATATTCCTTTGCGTGGCTAGCTCTCCTCACCTTTGTGCCTTAGCCTAAATATTACTAAGAGGTATTCTCTATCCCACTGGTTTTCTTCAAAGCACTGATAGGCTAGAATTTATCTCTTGACTTCCCTTACTTATTGCCCATTTTTCCCGAAAGTGAAATAGCTTTTTTAGAACAGGAACTTGTCTGTCTTCACCCATGGCCTTGACAGTAGGATCAATAAATCGTAATTGAATGAATTGAGAAGTGACTACCAAATAGTGGTACATACAAAGTTAATATGAATGTGTCAAATTCAGATAGGAAAACTCCATATAAAAATCATGTATATAGTAAGTAAATAGGTATGTGAAAACTAGATTTGAGATGTAAATGGTAAGAAAAAATGTGGTTAAATGACGAGTTGGAGTTAAGACAGAACCTGACTGGACACCTCTTAAGCTGTAATGATACTGCCTCCCTACTTCATGAAATCACAAAGAAAGTGAAAATCTGAGAAACATAATTAATAATGGCTAAAACCTTTGGAGCCTTTATTATGTGCCAGACTCTGAATGACCTCATTCAGCAACTGAAAACAACTCGAGTTGTTACTGTTCTTAGCCATGGTTTGTAGATGAGGAAGCAGAGTCTCAGACTGTTACTTGCTGGAATTTATAAGTAAATGTTGGAGGCAACATTCAAATCCAGGATTTCTGACTCTTGAGTTCATGCTCTTACTCAGAACTGTTCTCTTGACTGGACTTTTTTGGTCAGTCTTTATTTGGGTGATAAGTCTTATTTGTGAGGTTGACAGACTTTATGTGAACATTGAAAAAAATTGCAAGCATTTTACCTAGAAGATAGTTATATACCCATGCCATTTAAAAGTAATAGAAAGTAATAATAGTATAAGCAAGACTAATTTTGGCAATGAGAATGTCTTAAGTAAATTCAGCCCAGCCCTTCATACAGAAGGTTTCCCAGACACCCAGCAGCTAGTTTTCAAAAGGTTTTCTGCTCTTGTGTCTAATGCTGAGACAGAGGCAACCTGTTGAAGAGCCTCTGCTTTGAAAGGGAACTTCAAGAGCTTGCAGAGAGGGCTGGTGCAGGGAAGTTATTTCCTGTTTGACAGCAGCTACCTCAGTTTATGCTCTAGTACAATGGGATTATCAACCACTGCCAATGACCAGGTTTTTAACCAAATAGTATGGATTCCTGAATTTTGCTTTTTGAGTTTTTTTCTCACTATGACCTCTCCCATAGCTTCAGGCCAAAGGACAGCCCGACTGTCGGCGGCATATGACAACACCTACATTTTGAAGTTGGTGGAAAGGACGGGAGTGTTGCCCCTGAAGCGGGGAGAGGCGGGAAGAGGAGGGGAGAGGAGATATCCTCACTGGAGTCCTGGTTAAAGGAACTAAACCGTTTAGTATGCAAACGGAAGCTAGTCTCAGCCAGGTGGCCGGCGGAGGGCCTAGAGTGGTCGCTGGCCAGAGTCCTGCTGGTTGCTCCCTGTAGCCCTCCCGGGCTGGATTTGCAGTGACGCCTCGGGGCCGCTAGGTGGCAGCCGCGCGTTTCCAAAGCTGGCTCGCCTACCTTGAGAGCCCGGCTGGGAGCCCGAGAACCGACCCGAGAGCTCTGGAGGGGGGTGAAGGGGAGAGAAGTCCTGGAGACCCCCCACCCCCGCAGCTGCAAGGACGGAGAGATCAGAAGGGGTCTCAGAGTGCCAGCCGTCCGAGAGGGCATCTGGGACACGCCACGGTCCTGCGTGGACTCACAGGGTGGGCGAAAGCGAACCCCCTTAAACGGAGCCGCCCCGGGGGCTGGGCCTGACCCGCCCCCTCCCGGCTCCCCACTCAAGCGCTAGTGGGTGTGAGTGAGTGCTAGTAGCGAATGTGGGTGAGTGAGGACGCTCCGCACCTAACTGCGTTCTTGGGGACCGCCGCCTTCCCAATTCGGGCAGCATTTGCGCCGCGGCGCGGGTCATTGCGCCTGGGCGCACAGCTCCGACGGCTTCCAGCGCTCACCAGCTCCAGGCTCGCGGGCTCTGCCCCTTCGGAGCTGCGCGTCCCGTCTCCGAGAGTCTGAGCGCCTCCCTCTAACCCGGAGCCGCCAGGAGGAGGAGGAGGCGGCGGTGGAGAGGCCGCGGCAGGCAAGCAAGCAGGCTGGGCCGCCTTTGATGTGGGCGCGGCGCACCCAGCCGAGCTGAGCGCCCGTCCGGCCGCGCCCCGAGGGGGGAGCCCCCGGGCCCCGCATCCTCATTGTGCCGACTCGGGCCCGGGCCCGCCCCCGGCCCCCCGCCCCCTCGCCGCCCGCGCGTAGAAAACGCCCCGGCCGCCGCCAGTGGTGGGAGGCGGCGATGCGCACGGCCGGAGAGACGCGTAGGAGGAGACATGAGCCGGCGGGCGCCCAGACGGTGCGGCCGTGACGCGTTCCTGCTGCAGCCGCGCGCCCCGGCCCTGGAGCGCTGACCCCTGGCACCTAACAGCCCCGCGCCCCGGCCGGAGATCGCGCCCCAGCTTCCAGCCCCGCCGCGCATGCTGCCCACGGAGTGAACCGAGCAGCCAACCTCCCGCGGACGCCCGGACGGCCGGCCGGACAACCAGCAGTGAGCAAGCTTCCCCGCACCAGCCCGGCGTCTCCTGCACAGCGGCGGCCACCCCGTAGCCCCCGCGCCAGCCCGGAGGGCGCAGCGCTCGGGAGGAGCCGCGCGGGGCGCTGATGCCGCAGGGCGCGCCGCGGAGCGCCCCGGAGCAGCAGAGTCTGCAGCAGCAGCAGCCGGCGAGGAGGGAGCAGCAGCAGCGGCGGCGGCGGCGGCGGCGGCGGCGGAGGCGCCCGGTCCCGGCCGCGCGGAGCGGACATGTGCAGGCTGGGCTAGGAGCCGCCGCCTCCCCCCCGCCCAGCGATGTATTCAGCGCCCTCCGCCTGCACTTGCCTGTAAGCGCCCGCGCGCGGGGCTGCCTACGCTGCCTGGCCGTCTGTCCGTGTGCCTGTGACTCTGTCTGCCCGCCCGGCCGTTCGTCTGACTTTCCGGCTGCCTATCCGTCTGTCTGTCCGCGCGCCCCCCTCCCTCAAGTCCCACTGACCACCTCTCCATCTCTCTCCCGCAGGTGTTTACACTTCCTGCTGCTGTGCTTCCAGGTACAGGTACGTAGGATCCTGACTCTGACCTCCCCCTGCCCCTGCCTAGCGGTGCAGGTCGACCCCCTTCCCCTGGGCCGCGCCCCCTCCCTGTGCCCCACCCCTCCTGGGCGCCCAGCCCAGTGCACCTGTTCCCAGGGCGCCAAAGGGCGGCTCCGCGCGCGCCCTGCGCCGGCGGGGGACCAGCCAAGGGCAAGGGGCTCTGTTGCAGGGCTCAGACTGGCGCGGCCCCTGTCGGCCTTGGCTGAGAGGAGATCCCCGGAGCCAGCGGACTCAGCCGCTGCAGTGAGCCCAGCTCCACGCCCCCTGCCCACAACCGGAGAGGAGTTGGGACCTGAAGATTTTTTTCTGCCATACGTCCCTTAATATCTCCGTTCGCTCTTCCAAACAAAAAGGCTCCTTTGAGCCGAATGGATTTTGAGTCCAGGGAGAAAGCTTCAGTTGTAAATTACTCTGTGGTTTCAAAGGCGTTTGCAGGGGGGGAGAGAGAGGGAGGAAGAGACAGAGACAGGTTTTGGAGAGACTAGGTGAGAGATAGCAGACGGACGCTTGGGCTGAGAGGCCATTGCCCTTGAAGCCGCTCCAGAATGGGCCACGCTCCGCACACCCTCGCCCAAGGTGGTGCAGCCCTCGGCTGATTCCCCGCCTTGCTCCCCGCTCGCTCGCTCTCTGTGAATCAGAAGAGGGCTTGGCGCTCAGCCTGGAAAGCACTTGCTAAAATCTGATCTGTTACTTCAGCAGCTTTCAGACTCGGGAAGGTCTTGGCACGCAGACAGTTGGAACGCTCTGGCTTCCAAAGCCGTGGAAATGAAGGAAAAGGGGGGGGGGCGCAGAGAAAGAGAAGAGGGAAAGAGGGAGCGACTTCAGCCCCGATTAGAACCAGACCAGGGCTGCCTCAGCATGGTTGGAGGGGGGGTGGCAAAGGGAAGGGAAATAGAAGTGCCGGCTACCCTAGCCCTCCACCCACCTAGAGCTGCAAGGGAGGGGCCTTAGGGGGAGCTGGACTGGGGCCAAAAGAGATTATCTGCCCCTTCCCCCTCTGGGTTGAAGGCAGGTGTCCTCACAGGGTTAGAGACGATGCTTAGGTTTTAGCCTTTGGGGTTCCAGAGGTGCCCCAAAAGAGCCTTGAGAGGGGAAAATGGTGGCTCTCCCAGCTTTATGGCATAACGAATGTTGTGTGTGTTGAGTGCTTTTGAGCCCCAGTAGCCTCTTTCAGTGTTTGGTGTGGTGCTAGGTCTGCTTACCTCCGCTTCCACTCCTGGGAGAGAATCGTTACCATCAGAATGGACACTGGGCTGGGGGAAGCTAGTTGGGGCTGGGGGCTGTGAGGATGGATGGATGGACGGACGGACAGACGGACAGACGGACTGATGGGTTCTTTCCCCCAGCCTTGGCCAGGCTGAGGTCCCCAGTGACTCCTTGAATCAATATAACTGGAGTCAGTAACTTAAAACTGGCTGTTTGCCAAAGCAGATGTGACCCTGTGGTGGCGGGGGCAGGGGTGGGGAATGGCTGGTGTCAGAGAGAGGCCAGTGCCAGGCATGGCCTGCCTGATTTGCAGCTGAGTCCGCAAGCAGAGGGCAGGCCCCAGGGTCACTCCAGAGGATCTGCTTGTCTGATCTGGGTGAGAGCTCTTTTCCTGCATGTTGCACCTGGGGATGGGGGACTACTGCTATGAGCATGGAGGTAGAGATCTGGGGACTTTGTTGCTCAGGCCTCCTGCAGCCTGCTGCCTCTTGGTCCTTAAAGCAGGGCCCAGGAGGGGTTGCTGCAGCATCTTTGTGTTCTCTGGGGAAGCACGAGGGAGGGAACCTGGACTCTGCATCCCACCTCGACCTCCTGGCCTAGAGCTAGAGCCAGCCTCTCAGGAAAGAGCTGGGTGGTCCACCTGGGTTAGGACTTCAGGCATGTGATGGAGCGTCCTCTACCCGCTCTCTCACCTCTTCCTATCTTTTCAGATTTTCCCCTCCACACTGCCATAAGACTGATGTATTTAACCCTTGGTCCCTGCACCCATAGAGTATCTAAGGATGTGATCATGGAGGAGGGCATGCCCCTGATATGTCACACCAAAATGGTGCCCAAATGTGCTCATGTTTTGGAGAGGGCTGTCAGCGCCCCACAGATTTTCAAAAGCATCTGTGAGTCCTAAAAGATAAAGAAACGGCAGGCTCATGTCCCCATTCATGGTCTAGGAACAAAGATGGTGTGGCCATTAGAGGTAGAGATGAGGGGTGGGCCTCAAGTGTTCGTTGCTGGGAGTGTGAAGTCTGCTCCCTGCTGAGGAGGTGTTGGGCAGGCAGAGGGGAGAGCAGCTACCTTCCTGGCAGGGCAAGCTTAGAGAGGGTGACAGGAGCTCCCTTGGTGAGCAGGGGCGGGGGAGGCCTCCCTGCACGCCGGGAAGAGCTCAGAGCTTTGCAACCTGGTGGACTGGGCCTGAGCCCCAGCCTCATCTTTCCTCATCATTTGTGAAATGGGTGGCCTTGAGGCTGAAGTGGTACATGATAGGTGTGGTGGAAGAAGGTTTGGAGATTCTCATTCACCCAGGAGGGTACTTTGTTCTGCTGGGAAATGGATGTACCTCTGCCCTTCCCATCCCCCCGCTCCCTGGTTGTGCGGGGACTGCTCCAGTCTTAGCAATAGAGTTTCTGGTCTCTTCCTTCTCCCCCTCCATCAGCCATCAGGCCCAGAATGGGCCCCCACCTCCAGCCACATTTTCGAGAGAGCACAACAGTCAATGCCAGACACTGCCTCCCCCCACCACCCCCCATGGGGTGAGCCCCGCCCCTGCTGGCCACCCCAGGAAGCAGGAAGCTGGGAATTTAATAAAATCCCTTCTCCACACGACTTGGGACACCGCGGATAGCTCAAATCGGAAGAATTTTAAAAATTTCCGAGGGGAGCAGGCGGCGTGACCAGTAAATTGCTTTTCTGCACTTGGCTGAGCGCTGACAATGACACCGGGCTGGGCCTTTCACGCAGCTTGGCCGGCACCTGCCTGACATTGTTCCTACCGCCAGGCTCGGCTAGGTCCTGGCCTTCCCCAGACAGGCCAGGCTTGAGGCGGGCCAGGAAAGGGGGGCTTCCACCACCCACCGCTTGTCCCTCCCACAGCACCTCTTCCTCTCACCCACCGCCCAGTGTGTTCAAGTTTTGAAGTTTCCTTTCATGCCCCCGCTTGACCTGACCACCCCCCACACCTGGCTTCCTCTGTGAGGTTTAAAACCTTTCTTCTAGCTGGTTAGAATAGGAAAGCCAGAGACAGAGTCCTTTGGGACATGAGGAGGATGGAGAGCTGTCCTATTGGGTAGCACTTTTAGTTTCTTAAGACAGTGACATCATCCATCTGTGTGTCCAGTCAGGTATTCATTCAACAAATACTTGCTGGAACCCCACTTCTTGCTGGCCTTGAGAACAAGACTAGTCAGTTTCTGGCCTCAAGATGCTCCCATTCTAGAGGGGAGAGTTCCTGTGATCCTGCCTCCTGAGAAGTACGGGGCGGGGGGCACATCCTGCTTCTGTCCAACCAAGTAAGACTCCAAGGCTCTTGCATCCAGAAGCTTGTTTCCTTCTTCCTGTCCTTCTTCCTCCTGAAGTAGGTGGGCTAATATTCCTACTTCACAGTTGGAGAGACTGAGGGACAGAATGGGGAAGGGATTTGTTCAAGGCCAATGCTAAGACTCAGGACTCTGGATTCAAGATCTTGTATTCTTTCCATGACACCAGGCAGACTTCTTCAGAAAGAATACCAGTGGGGAAATGGAGTTCCAAGGGGCATGCTAGGGGTTCTCAGTGAGAGCTTCCTCTTGGATTCTCACTGATAGGATCTCCACACTACGGATGATCAGAGCCTGGATAGGTGTCTCTGACGGAGGGCACCTGACTCGGAGTCTGCAGGCCCTGATTCTCCTAGAATGTTTTGGACTGAAAGGGTCCCAAAGCCAGAGGTGGGTGTCTAGGAGGGTAGGGCCTGGGGGAGTCAGCACTCCCCTCCCGGCTTCATTCCCAGCAGGGAAGGGGAGAGGGCACCCTGCCAGCTATCCCTGCAGCCTGAGGTAAGGAGGTGGATTGTTAAAATATCTTGTGGTGGCACCCAGGGTTAGCGGGCTTGGGGTAGCTCTCAGGGCACAGTAGGCCCCCAAAGGGAGATGGAGGGCAACAGGGGGGAGATTTCCTAGCCTCAGCAGGACCTTCTGGTTCTGCAGGAGAGGTGTAGGTGTGGGAAATCAGGCTGCAGGCCCATCAGGCCGACAGCAATGCTGGTAGCCACCACCAGGCATGGTGTGCTCACGATGTAACAGGCAGGCCCTTTCTCACCTCATGGAGGCTCAGCCTCGCAACCAGCCCGAGATCAGGGAATTCTGCCGACAGGAAAGTGAGGCTCAGGGGCATGAAATAACCTGCCTTTCGCCGCACAGCAAGAGAGAGGCAGAGTGGGCTTCGACTCTGGGTCACCTGGCTCGAGGCTTGAGGCTTATGAAACAGCAGTATGAGGGTTCAGGGGTGTGCCAGCCTAGTTCCAGTGGTCATCCTGCCTTATCTTTGCTGTATGACCTTGAGCAAGTTACTTAACCTCTCTGGTCTCAGCTTCTGCATGTGTAAAATGGAAAGAAAACAATCAACCAAATAATCCCTGGCTTCCTACAGGTGGAGAGCAAGGGTTAGGGCACCGGCCCCTGTGTCTCTTGTTTTGGAAGGGCTCCCTTGCCCCCCTACCCGTGTCGGTGTGGTAAGCCCCCTTTCCCCAGGGCACTGTCACCTCCTGGTGACTAGGACGGGGGAGATGTGGATTGGTTCCTTTCTGGGAGCAGGGGCTTTCTGTTCCACCTCTGTGTACCCCATTTTTTTGCTGGGACACTCAGGGATAGGGCAGTGCCAAGGGCCTTGCCAGGCTGGCTCGGGCTGGGAGAGAGCCACTGAGCCTCAGAGAGGGTGGAAGCCTGTTGTCTCCACTTTGGGCCTGAGTGTGGGGACTTGTTCTGGAACATCGGTGGGTAAATTGGCCC